GATTTTATTCTGTTAGTGATAGTATGAAAAATAAAAGGAAGAGGATAACTATTATTAAGAAGTATATTGATGGTTTCAATTAAGTTTTTTTGATGAAATTGTGGATGAGACAAACGAATTATTTTATCTATCATGTTAGTGATTATACCTTTTTTGTGACAGATAGGATGGTTGGAATGAAAGTTTAAAAATCTACCGGAGAATGTGGTTTTGTGGAAAATATCAAATATGATTCTCTGATTCTCTACAATGATTTTCGTATCAAGAAAATTTATGGTATTATCTGTGCCAACTTCCATGGTGAACTGTAATCTTTTGTGTATAGAATTGAATGTATTCAGTGTATCACAAATGCCGTCCGAAGGGAGTGCCAAAATGATGTCATCCACATATCGATAGTAGAACAAAGGTTTTTTATGTAATTTATTAATTGTAGACATTTCAAGGTCTTGCATTACTATATCTGCAATTATAGGAGAAGGAGGTGAACCCATTGGAGTGCCAAAAATTTGTTTGTAACAATTGTAGTTGAATGAAAAAAAGGTGGAGTTCAATACCAAATTAATTGCCCTAATAAATTCATCTTGAGGAATCTTTATTTTATTGGCTATATATGTGATTCCATCTGTTTTTTATGCTATTTATGGCTAAATCTACAGGAACATTAGTAAAAAGAGATACTACATCTAGAGACGTCAACACATGGTTAGAATCAATTTGTAGTCCAATTAATTTTTTGGCTAGGTAGGAACTATCTTTTATATAACTGGGAGCCTCAGGTATACTATCGTTAATAATGTTATGTAAAAAAAGTGACAAGTTGTACAAAGGACTGTTTATGGATGACACTATTACTCTCAGTGGGTTACCTTGCTTATGGATTTTTATTAATCCGTATGCTCTAGGTAAGTTGCCGTCGGTTGTGAGTAATTTTCGATATGTGGAATCCTCAATATACTTTTTACTCTTCCATTTAGTGAGAAGGACACGTAAGTCTTGTGTTAATTTTTTTGTTGGACCTTTTTCAATTTTTTGATAAGTATCATTATCAGAAAGAATTTCTTCCATGTTAGATATGTAGCTAGTTTTATTAAGAGCAACGGTGACATTTTCCTTGTCTGCATTGGTGATGAGTATATTATGTGTTTTATTAATAAATTGTTTTGTTGACATCAGCGACTTGTTAATTAATTTTTCAGTCGGATTTAGGGAAGGAAATTTACTATTAAATCTGTTGAGGATAGATATTGAGTTATTTCTAACAAGCTTTATAACATTAGAAGGACGGCCAATGATGTTGCTTTCAATTTGTTTGATAAATTCTTTCATAGTTTTTTCCTTATTGTGAGAATTGATAGGAAGACCGAATTTTTCCCCTAATTGTAATAGAAATTGTACATCAAGTGGAATGTCAATGTCACTTAAATTTATGAACCACTTTTCTTTTAAGGAGTTAAGAGGACAAGGATCACCAAAATCATTCGGTAAAATACTTATATTAATAACATCTTGACTGACCATTCCAACCATCCTATCTGTCACAAAAAAGGTATAATCACTAACATGATAGATAAAATAATTCGTTTGTCTCATCCACAATTTCATTAAAAAAACTTAATTGAAACCATCAATATACTTCTTAATAATAGTTATCCTCTTCCTTTTATTTTTCATACTATCACTAACAGAATAAAATCTTATATACGTAATAATAACTTTTTACATAATAATAATACTAATGATAAGTTCTTCTCAGTACCATATGTAAAATCTATTTTTGAAAGTTTTTTACCGATTACAAACAAATTCACTTGCAAACTAGCTTACTCCATACCAAATACACTCAAAAGTTTTATAAAGATAGG